TTAAAATCCTTAAAGCATTATTATTCAAATCTCTATTTTATAGGAAACTAGCACTGGTAGAATGTCTACTGAAAATAGGCACTAGGGTAGGGAGTATTACAGTTAATCTTCACCATAAGGCATGTTAGGTGAGGAAACTAAATCTTTGAAAGGTTAAATGATTTGGCCAAGTGGCTGAGGGATGAAGCTAGAATTCAAATCCCAAGACTGAGTAGTTCCAAATTCATGCTCTTTTTCACTGTAATACACTATAAGGCACTTTACAAAAGCAGCCAGACATAAAACTTAAACATTCCATACTGACATATTCCTATTAAAAACATATACAGGATATATCAATATAACTAAAAATGCTTTTGGAAAAAAATTTAATTATCTCAAACTCATTCACGCAATACGCATCCTAAGATCTCTGATTCAACAATGAAAGAGCTGACATAATTAGCAGCTGCAATAATTTTTTTGTAGAGTCAGTAAATTTCCATCATCATGGTTTCAAAAACCTGTTCACCTGGTTTTTTCACCTTCTCAATAATTAGTCCTTTTCAACTTTATTATTGTTGCTTTTATTCTTTCCTTCAAAACACAATATTCTTAACACTATATTTCAAATAAAAGGAAAAAAAAAAAAAGAGAGAAAATGCATTGGCTAATAAGCCTACCCAAATTAACTCTTAGCCTATCCAACTTATCTTAATTACGTGAAGAGATACTCCTTTAGGACAGTTATCTTGAAGACATCTCAAGAATCCATAGATAAGATGCCTTCTTTTTACTACTGTCCAGACAATAATCAAAATCCACTTAAACATTTATCATTTAACAACTTTTTTTTAAGGCTCTAAGAATATGGGGCAAACTATTTTGCATATTTATGCATTCTTTAAAGTCTTGAATTAAACAAATATAGCCATGAAATGGTAAAAAAGTTTTGTCAGATTATTAAGTCAACTTTATTGAAGGTAGAATAACATTCATACAGCAATGACACACCAAAAGTTACACAGAAGACAAAGAGAACTAACTTAATTAACCACAAGCTAAAGATTTATGATATCCAGGTAAGAGACAATTATCTTCACTAGGAAGGGAGGAGGAGCCCTGGTGGAGCAGTGGTTAAAAGGCTTGGCTCTTAAAAGAAAGGTAGGCTGTTTGAACCTACCAGCCGCTCTGTAGGAGAAAGACGTGGCAGTTTGCTTCCATAAAGATTACAGCCTTGGAAACTCTATTGGGCAGTTCTAACCCTGTCCTATAGGGTCGCTATGAGTTCGAATTGACTAGACAGTGGGTTTTCGGTTTAGGTAGGCAGATGACAAGGAATTAGTATGTCCAAGGTTTTTCTTAAGAATGAGTATAAGGAAACTAGCTACAGGCTGTTTAAAACTTCTGAAGAAACTGTTACGTCCTATTAATGGTGGAATATAATGAGATTACTATATTTTCTGAATATGCCACAAATTCTCTTCAAAAACTGAAGCACTCCTATAAGAACTTCTGTATTACTGTCAATAAAGGAATGTTAAAAAAAAGATTTTCGATCCTATAAAACTATGAGGAGGTTAATTTTTTCCACTGAGAATTCTTTCCTCACATTATCTTTGCTATCCTAAAGTCTTCATAACATAAAATAGCTCTTTTCTAACATTTATTATAAACTAAGGTTTGTCTGTCTAATAATAAACATATCTTCCCATACAAAAAAGGTACTCTACTTGGTAGGTTAGCTACCCAACCCAGCTCCCTTTCTGCCATGAAACCATCTCTATAGTTTTCACTATGCCCAAGATCTGCTTTGTGCTGCACATACCCCCAAATGTGACATTCTGTCAGAAACATATACATATAAATACAAATACTAAAACAAAAAAAACCCCCAAAATCCAAAATTTTAATTTCTTCATTTCCAAGGGTTTGGAAAAAAGCACATGAAAGGTCAGAAAATGATTACATTTGCAACAGTAACAAATAGCATAAGCTTATTCACTTGCCTTAAAAATACACACAGAGGAAGAAAAATACTTAGTAGCCAATGAAACTTGTGACAAAAGTGATTTAGAATAAATGCTTACTTCAAAATGTTTAATATGTATTATGATAAAAAATTTGGTTAATCTTAAGTTAATAATAACAGAACTTTATCAGCTAGAACCTTAATCTTCAGTAAGCCATTATCAACCTCAAATATTAACAATCTAAAAAGTCTAGATTTAAAATAAATTTAATCAAATGCCGTACATAGCCATAACCAAGAAAATTAAGAACTAGAATTAAATTTAGACATAGAATGTTTACTTTCAGTTATCTGTTATTCACTGGAGCTGTGGTGGTGCAATGGTTAAGCGCTCAGCTGCTAACTGAAAGCTTAGCAGTTTGAACCCACCCAGTGAGTGGCTCCTCGGAAGAAAAGATCTTGTGATCTGCTCCCTTAAAGATTACAGCCTAGGAAGCTCTACCAGGCAGTTCTACTCTGTCGCATGGGATCACTATGAGTCAGAATCGACTTGACAGCATCCAACATCTGTATTCAATGACAAATGAAGCAACTCATACACAGCATCAGATATCTGAGTCTGAGATATCTTAAAAAAAAAAAAAAAAAAAGCAAAGCAAAGCAAGCCTTGGTCTTCCACCTCCAGAAGTTACATCCTAAATAGCCAGGAAGAAAAATTAGCATAATCACATTTTTTGCATATGTTTTTATTATTGATGCTATTTTGTTCATCTCCCTTTAACCAAAGTATTATTATTAGTGAGCCTGATTGGTTGCCATTAAATGCCCACAATTTTCATTTAGTACGAATACAAAGGACAGAGCTGCATAACAACTACTGCATAAATAGGTAACGTCAAGACTAGTCTTTTCTCATTAGTCATATGTGTATCAGGCCATTTAATAATCTTGGATATTATTACATTTTACTGAAACTTTTGGAGATTCAAAGCCATAGAAAAATTATGTACAGAAATTCTGCAATAGTTTCCTATATAGGAATAAAATACATATATGTACATATTATATGAAAAATGATTATCCTTCAGTTGGCATTTCCTCCCCTTATTTCTATTTGTAGGTCCACATTTAGAAAAAATATCTGAAAACAGACACAAAGAAGAAGCCCATCACTTCATCAGTAAATAACCAGTTAATAATCCAATTAATCTATCACTCAGCACACACCGAGAAAATAGAATAATACTTGTGCAAAAAACCCCGAAAATTTCTAATGGTTAAATACAGCCTTTTCTAGAACACACAGTACTTGGTAGCTTATTTATGGGAACAGATGCTGACTAGCTATCATATATCTCTCTTTTCTCAGAAAAAGAAAACAGCTTGATTCTCTCTTTCCTCATGAAAATTATCAGCCCTAAAAGGGTTTATCAAAGTAGATAAAACTTCCTTAGTTGAAAGCAAACGACTTTTTTTAATGTCTGAAAAGCCCCCAAATTTTGCTGTAATAATTGACCATCTTAGTCCTTTTTCTGGAATATAAGCCTCAAGATAAAAAAGACTTGTAAAATGCCACAGGTATTTAAAGTATTTACAAATTAGTAAAATACCAATTTCATCAATAAAATGCACACTTTACATGTCAACATCTCTTAAAATCAATGAGATCTTAAGCACTGTGTCATATATTAACTGGCAGTGATTTTTTTTCTTTTACTGGTACATAAAATAATAGTACCTCTTACAATCAATGGCATCTCAGTATTCTATGAAATATGGTAACCTTCTTTCTTGGAATGACAAGTTTTTAGCAAAAAGGATATTTAGCCCAATATCTCATTCCATATACAAGGAAAATGAAGGCCCAAATAAGTGATGTCCCAACGCCATAAAATCACTACCAAGAGAGACTGGAATACATATCTTCTGGCTCCCAAGAACGGCCTTTCCATTACATCATCTACCTCCTGAAGCAAATGAGGTAAAACTACTACTGTACCTGGGTTTGACCCATAGCTAATATACCTAATACGTACAAATATCCACTGTGATACCTATAAAACGCTTACCACTTACTTAGGAGCCATGTATGCTTATGGCCTGAATCTAAATAGACCGTGTTAGATTGATTTGAAAGTAACCGCGACACCACCAACAAAAAAATCTAGTTTTTTTTTTTTTTTAAGTCTTTGGTAAAATGTATCCTAAACTACAGACACTTCAGAAATGAGCGCTTCCCTTAAAGTAGAGAGACAGAAATATCACAAGGTGCGCTTCAATGGCTCAATACAATCTCATTATGTGCCCACCAGCAGCCTAAACGCAGTAGCTAAAACAAGGCCGTGCACTCAATTATCAGCACTAGAAACTTCGCACATCTTTTTCAGTCCGACAACTACACAATTCACAGGTGGTTGGTACGTTTTACATCTCTACTTGGAAGGAAAACGAAAGGAATCCAATGAATGCAGTGACGCCCGCAGCTGGTTTGCAGGACTAGCAGTGGAGGGCCAGAAGCCACAGGACGATGGCGAAGGCAGCCGAAAAAGCCCACGTTTCCGGGCTCAGGGGGCTGAAGCACCGGGCGATTGGAGAACCAGAGGCGACGCCGACGGGGCCTGCGGGCCTTGCGCTTCTGCACTCCGCCCTCGATGCCTTCGCCCACCCTCTCCACCCAGAAGTGGGAGGAAGGTACGAGTTGGGGACTGGACAGGGGTAGGCGGAGTCTGGGGGGACAGGGTGCCTCGGCCTCTGTTCCCTCCCCTCGGCCTGCCTGGTGGCGGTGGCTCGGCACCGAGGCCGCAGGAGGCCATTTTGGCTCCGGTGCCGACGAAGGCCCCGGCGGCCCTCCACGTCCTTTAAAACTCCGCGTCTCCCTCCCCGCCCCCACGGGGCCGCTCCCCGCCGCGGGCGGGGCGGAAGGGCCGGGGCCGGGACTGTCGGGGGCCGCGGATCCGGGCCGCGGGTGTGGGTGGCGCGCGGGGGCTGCCGCGGGGGCGTCGTGTCGGCGGGCAGGTCGGGGTAGAAAAGAGGGCGCGGGATCCGTTACCTATATTGGGCCGCAGCCGCCGCCGCCGCCGCCCCGCTGTGGGTGAATCCAAAGTAGTTGCCGGTCGCCATTTTGGCATCTTCCCCCAGCCGGCTGGGCACTGCGGCGGGCACGGAGAGTCGGGTCCCATGGCGGGAGGCGAGACGCCGAGGGGCAGACACGCCGAGGGAGGGAAGGGGAGAAAGAGGCGCCGTGAGAAGCCTCCCTCACCGGGCCGCGGCCGCGCCGCCTCCCCCTCCCGCTTGCACTCCCCCACTCACTCGCACGCCCCGGTGGCGGCCGCCGCCTCCTCCCCAGGGCCAGCCCCAACCCCCGCGCCTCCCCGCAGCCCCGGGCTGGGGAAAGGGCCGGGCACAGGCCTTGGCGGGGAACATTATACTCACCATAGGTGAAAGAAACTACAGGGCATATGGGAATCATGGGCTCGGGCTGCTGCTGCTGAACTCTGAACTCTCACCCGCTGCCTCCCTCCTCTGCCCCGCTCCTCCTCGGCGGAGAACAGACCGCCGCCTCCGGGTGTACTGCGCAGGCGCCGCCGCGCTCGGCATCCTGGGAGCTGTAGTCTTCGCTGCCTCGGCGGCTTCCGCGGGCGCGTGCTGGGGCCTCGGCATGGGCGGGCGCAGAGGGGCGACGCCCGCGGAGGACAGCGGGCCTTGCCTTCTCCCAAGTGGTAGTGATAGGGAGCTGCACGGGGAGCGATGGAAGGCCGTACAAGGAGCACCTAGCTGAGCCATAGGGTAATCAGTGATTAGAGAGTGACGTCTGTCAGCCTTTCCTTCTGACTTTTCACTCTTCTTTCACTTTCGCGTGTGCATTTGTTCTGTACCTTTCAGTCTTTGTCACCCATTCACTTTTCATCCGAATTTGAGCTGGACTAATTAGGATTCTTCCTCATTTCCCGCATTCGCTTCTTGTCTTCATCCCCTAAAGTAGGGAGGAGAGGAAGAGGTAAGTTTTACAACCCTGAAAAGAATGGGAAATCTCTGCTATTCTACTTGTCCGAAAGCACGCCTTCAAACACCCCCCCAACACACCTCTTCCCACATCCCCTCCCGCACCCACACACACTCGAGTCATTCAACGTATATTGACTCCCACCCCTACAAGGTGTCAGGCACTCTTCCAGGTATTGGAGATACAGCCATGAACACTAACCAAATAAATCGAAAATATGTCAGATGATGATTGGAGCTTTAAGGATAAAGAGGTCTAAAGGGTAGAGAGAAGGAGTAGCTGTTTAATGTAGGGTGTGGTTAGCACCGCCGCTTTTGCTTCTGCAGAGTCCTGAAGGAAGTAGGGAAGAAGCCCTATAGACACTTAGGTGAAGAGCAGCTAGTAGAAGGACCTAAAGCTGGAGTATTTTAGAGCAAGAAGGAGGCCAGTCTGTCTGGAGGTGAGTTAGAGGGAGATCAGGTCAGAAAGGTCCTTGGGTACCAGATCTTGTGTGATGTCTTAGACATCTAGTGCTGCTCCGACAGAAATACCACAAGTGGATGGCTTTACAAAGAGAAATTTATTCTCTCACAGTCCAGTAGGCTACAAGTCAAAATTCAGGGCATCAGCTCCAGGGGAA